GGGGGTAAAGGGTAATTAGTAATCAGTAATTATGACAAACGTCCCACACCTTTAAAGTTTAAGGCCAGATTTGTCACCAGAGTGTATAGAGTGAACACCAAATAAACCAACAGCAAAAAATAAAAAGGGTGGTGAAGAAAAGATAAAAACTTTAAAGGGCCTTAAAACCCCAAGGCAAAAGTGTGTTCGCGAGAAAAATTCGGTCTTTTCAGTTTTCAGGATATTCAGGATTTGAACGCGCAGCACACGCAGACCACAAGGCAAAAGTGTGTTTGCATGAAAAATTCGGTCTTTTCAGTTTTCAGGATGTTCAGGATTTTCACACGCAGCACACGCAGACCAAAACAAATACGGAAAAAAAAAAAAAAACCTGAAAAAAATAATCACCGATTTCAGTGCTGGGGGGTGGTTAACCAGGGCTTAAAAGTGGGGATCCCCGTTAACCAATTGTGTATACTCTACACACAAACTCCACACACGAAATTCAGACAACACGACAATGGAGGAGGAGAGAAGGATAATAATTTTACCAAAAAATGAAAGATCTTCTCGTGACCCTTTTGTGGAAAGAAAAAAAATCTGTAAAAAAAATATGCTTTGTAGAATTGCAATACAAACAACTTATTATTTTCTGCTTTCAAAGTTTTTACTAATTGTATTCTGACAACGGATGAGATAATAATCGATGAATAGAATTCAGTAGATACTAAATTTGATCTTAGCCAGAAAAGGTAACTTCAGAATTCTTTAATAATTTGAACATAAGGAAAGGAAAAAAGTAGAAAATCAAACTAAGGCAACCTGTGAAGTTCGAACCCATTTTAACCCCCTTTTTAACTGCATGGTTACCCCCCTTTTCCCTCTGCAACACATTCCACCCATGCCACGTTTAAGCACAATGCCCAAGTATTCTCTTGTAATATATCGCTAGTGTGAGGATACTCGTCCTCGGCAGGGTCAAGTATTCTCTTGTAATATATCGCTAGTGTGAGAATACTCGTCCTCGGCAGGGTCATAATGGGCCCCAATGCAAAACTTTACCCCCCCCAACAAGGAGGCCTTTAAGGGGGGGGGGGGGGGGGGGGCGACAGTTACTGGGTGCCAGTTGCTTGAGAGGCCCAGCACGCTATGCAACCCTCTGGCATCGGGAGCGTTCTAGGCTCTTCCAGGCTCAACGTGGAAGCAGGCCTCTCAGCCTATCAGGACGCAGCAAGTGAGGTAAGCCACACCACACAAAGGCTCGCCTAACCGTTTCTGTCCCAGACCGCTGTCTAAATCAGGCGTGGGCGCAGACACTTTGGCCCAACGTGAAGCTACTGGAGAGGAACATGACGTGATTGAGTGCCCCGACGGGAGAGGGAGACGGAGATAAGAGTCCGGCACACACACACACACACACACACACACGCACACACAGGGAGAAAGAGAGAGAGAGAGAGAGAGAGAG